GGAACAAGACCAACGAATGGAAAATAGTAACAATATGGCAGACATTCGTCCAACTGTATCGATAATCACTTTGAATGCCGATGGTCTAAATGCACCAATTAAAAGCCAGAGGCTGCCAGACCCAACTGCGTGTTATCTATAAGAAATCCACTTTAACTAAAAAAACACATTCAGATTACAAGTAACTGGGTGGAGACGCAGCATGAGAACACTAATCTCACATGATGATAAAGGGGTCCATTCTCCAAGAAGACACAAATCTTAACATGTATGCATCTAGAAACAGAGGAGTCAAACTACACGAGGCAAAAAGTGATAGAACTGCAAGGAGAGAATCTGCGGCCACAGTCAGGAGACGTCTCGGAAACAGGCAGGTCCAGCCGACAGAAAGGTAGCGAGGACCCCGCGGGACTGGACAGTGCTGCCAGCCAACTGGATACGCGTGACATCTACCGACAGCTCCACCCAACGGCACCCTGCTCACGGTCCCAGGGAACGTTCACCAAGAGGGGCCACATTCTGGGCCATAAACACAGCATAACAAATGTAAAAGCTATTCTTTTAGACGTCACATGAATTAAACTAGAAATCAGCAACAGAAAGGTAACTAGAAAATCCTGAAGTACTTGGAGATTAAACAACACACTTCTAAATAACACAGGGGTCAAAGAAAGCATCTCAAAAGAAATTTTTAAATATTTGAACTAAACGAAAATGAAAATTCTACAATCAAAATTTGTGGGATGCAGAGAAAGGAGTGCTCAGAGGAAAATTTACAGCATTGACACATACATTAAAAAAGAAAAAAGATGTAAAATCAATTACCTAAGCTTCTACCTCAGGAAACTAGAAGAAGAACAAATTATAAGTCCTAAGCAAGCAGAAGAAATCATAAAAATTAGAGCAATAATCAATGAAACGGAAAACAGGAAATAGAGAAAAATCAATGACACCAATAGCTGGTTCTTCTTTGAAAAGATCAGTAATATTGATAAGCCTCTGGCTGACTAAGAAAAAAAGAGAAAATGCACAAACTGCTAATACCAGGACTGAAAGAGGAAACATCACTACAGATTCCATAGACACTAAAGAGATAATAAACTGTGAATAACTCTACATTTGCAAATTAACCAATTCCTTGAAAGACATAATCTGCCAAAATTCACACAAGAAGACACACATGTCTGAACTGGCCTCTATCTATTACAAAACCAAATCAATAATTACATAGCCACCCAAAGCAGAAAGCCCCAGGCCCAGACGGGTTCAGTGAACTCTGCCAAACATTCAAGGAAGAAATTATACCCATTCTTCACACTCTCTCCCAGACAACAGGAGCAGAGGGAATGACTGCGTCCTACCCTGTTCCTTGAGGCCAGCACCGCCCTGACACCCAGCCAAAGGCATTATAAGAAAGCTACTGACCAATTAGCGCTCATGAACATAGATGGCGATATCCTCAACAGAATAGGAGCAAATCAAATCCAAAAATGTTTAAAAAGAATTACCCACCACAACCATGGGGGGGTTTATTCCAGGGATGCAAGGCTGGCGCAACATCTGAAAATCAGTAACTGATCCATCACATCAAAGGCTAAACAAGAAAAATCACACGATCCTATCAATAGATGCAGAAAAGGCATCTGACGAAGTCCAGCACCAATTTATGATCAAAACTCTCAGGAACTTAGACATAGAGGGCAACTTCCTCAACTCGATAAAGAAAAATCTACAACAAACCTACAGCTAACGTCACACTTGATGAGAAGCTCAAAGCTTTCATACTAAGATGCTCT